GGCAGACATATAGCAGAATACATTTTGGCCTAAATTTATGACTAAATTAGATTTTTTTTTTTTTTTTTTAAATTTATTGGACATGTTTAACCACCTCCCGTCCTCCGGCTGTTGTATACAGTTGTGTTCAAAATAATAGCCGTGTGTTGAAAAAAGTGAATAAAGCTCAAAATCCTTCTAATAGCTTTTATTTCCATACACACAAATGCATTGGGAACACTACACATTCTATTTCAAATCAAAACATGAAGAAACATATATCAAATGTGTGGTGTTCCTCTAAAAAAAAAATTGAAGAAAAGTGAATATTAGACTGTTCAAAAAAATAGCAGTGTTTTGTATTCTTCTTTACAAACTCAAACATTCGCTATATAAACTGAAAAATGTTTGAAGCTTTTGCTTTCCTTTGAATCACTTAATCAAAATTTAGTTGTATAACCACTGTTTCTGAGAACTGCTGTACATCTGTGTTGCATGGAGTCAACCAATTTCTGGCACCTGTGAACAAGTATTCCAGCCCAGGATGATTGGGTTCCACAGTTCTTCTCTATTTCTTGTTTTTGCCTCAAACTGCATTTTTTTTTATGTCACCCCACAAGTTTTCTATTGAATTAAGATCCGGGGATTGGGCTGGCCACTCCATAACGTCATTCTTGTTGGTCTGGAACCAAGATGTTGCACATTTACTGGTGTGTTTGGGGTCGTTGTCTTGTTGGAACAGCCATTTCAAGGGCATTTCCTCTTCAGCATAAGGCAGCATGACCTCTTCAAGTATTCTGATGTATTCAAACTGATCCATGATCCCTGGTATGCGATAAATAGGCCCAACACCGTAGTATGAGAAACATCCCCATATCATGATGCTTGCGCAACCATGCTTCACTGTCTTCACAGTGTACTGTGGCTTGAATTCAGTGTTTGGGGGTCTGACAAACTGTCTCCAGTCACTAGACCCAAAAAGAACAATCTTACTTTCATCAGTCCACAAAATGTTGCGCCATTTCTCTTTAGGCCAGTCAATGTGCTCTTTGCCAAATTGTAACCTCTTCAGCACATCTTTTTTTCAACAGTGGGACTTTGCGGGGGCTTCTTGCAGATAGCTTGGCTTCACATAGGCGTCTTCTAATTATAACAGTACTCACAGGTCACTTTAGACCTTCTTTGATCTTCCTGGAGCTGATTGTTGGCTGAGTCCTTGCCATTTTGGCTATTCTATCCATTTGAATGGTAGTTTTTCGCTTTCTTCTGCGTCTTTCAGGTTTTGGTTGCCATTTTAAAGCATTTGCGATCATTTTAGCTTAGCAGCCTATCATTTTCTGCAAGTCTTTATATGTTTTCCCTTCTCTAATCAACTTTTCTAATCAAGGTACGCTGTTCTACTGAACAATGTCTGGAACGACCCATTTTCCTCAGAATTTCAGACAGAAATGCACTGTAACCAGCATGTACATTTGCTACCTTCCTTCCTTAAATTGCCACCTGTTTTTCAAAGAATGAATGACCTCACTAATAGAACTCCACACTGCTATTATTTTAAACATGCCCCTTTCAATTACACAGAATCAGCAGCATGCATGTCATGACTGTTGGGTCTGTTGGATTTCTATTACTCTACTACACCTGCTAGTAAATTATTTGCCATGTAGAAATATAATTTCTACCTAAAACAGTGATTGATCAGGTTAGTGATGTTTGACTGCTATTATTTTGAACACAACTGTATAAACAGCTGGACAGTGGCAGTGCAGGGTCGTGTGGCTGTTTATAAACGGCCTCCCCGCCCCCTGCTTGTGCGCTTTCCTTCCGGACACAGTGGAATACCGATCGTCGTACGGGACCTCTCTGTGAGGTCCCGATCATGTGATCACTGATTGGCCAATCAGTGATCACATGCAGAGTAGTAAGCAAGATGTCACTTCTGACAAAATTGCTTACTACATGTGAAATCTGTGATCACAGAGGTCACATGATGCAAGGCTATTCACAACAGCCTTGTACCATGTGACAAGCTGTGACCAATCACAGCTCACACAGTAGTTCTCAGTGGCTCCAAGAATGCAGCCAGAAAGAAGGAGAAATTATTGCTTTTACACCCATAAAGGCTGTAAAAGCAATCGGTGTAAAAAAAGAAAAAAAAAATCATCACCCCCCCACAAGTAGTACATTGTCACCATGGTGACACTGTACTGCTAGGGTGACAATATGTTAAAAAAAAAAAAAAAAAAAAAAACAGTCAGGTCCATAAATATTGGGACATCGACACAATTCTAACATTTTTGGTTCTATACACCACCACAATGGATTTGAAATGAAATGAACAAGATGTGCTTTAACTGCAGACTTTCAGCTTTAATTTGAGGGTATTTACATCCAAATCAGGTGAACGGTGTAGGAATTACAACAGTTTGCATATGTGCCTCCCACTTGTTAAGGGACCAAACGTAATGGGACAATTGACTTCTCAGCTGTTCCATGGCCAGGTGTGTGTTATTCCCTCATTATCCCAATTACAATGAGCAGATAAAAGGTCCAGAGTTCATTTCAAGTGTGCTATTTGCATTTGGAATCTGTTGCTGTCAACTCTCAAGATGAGATCCAAAGAGCTGTCACTATCAGTGAAGCAAGCCATCATTAGGCTCAAAAAAACAAAACAAACCCATCAGAGATATCAAAAACATTAGGCGTGGCCAAAACAACAGTTTGGAACATTCTTAAAAAGAAGGAACGCACCAGTGAGCTCAAACACCAAAAGACCCAGAAGACCACGGAAAACAACTGTGGTGGATGACCGAAGAATTTTTTTCCCTGGTGAAGAAAACACCCTTCACAACAGTTGGCCAGATCAAGAACACTCTCCAGGAGGTAGGTGTATGTGTGTTAAAGTCAACAATCAAGAGAAGACTTCACCAGAGTGAATACAGAGGGTTCACCACAAGATGGAAACCATTGGTGAGCCTCAAAAACAGGAAGGCCAGATTAGAGTTTGCCAAACATGTAAAAAAAGCCTTCACAGTTCTGGAACAACATCCTATGGACAGATGAGACCAAGATCAACTTGTACCAGAGTGATGGGAAGAGAAGAGTATGGAGAAGGAAAGGAACTGCTCATGATCCTAAGCCTACCACCTCATCAGTGAAGCATGGTGGTGGTAGTGTCATGGCGTGGGCATGTATGGCTGCCAATGGAACTGGTTCTCTTGTATTTATTGATGATGTGACTGCTGACAAAAGCAGCAGGATGAATTCTGAAGTGTTTTGGGAATATTATCTGCTCATATTCAGCCAAATGCTTCACAACTCATTGGACGCCGCTTCACAGTGCAGATGGACAATGACCCAAAGCATACTGCAAAAGCAACCAAAGAGTTTTTTAAGGGAAAGAAGTGGAATGTTATGCAAAGGCCAAGTCAATCACCTGACCTGAATCCGATTGAGCATGCATTTCACTTGCTGAAGACAAAACTGAAGGGAAAATGCCCCAAGAACAAGGAGGAACTGAAGACAGTTGCAGTAGAGGCCTGGCAGAGCATCGCCAGGGATGAAACCCAGCGTCTGGTGATGTCTATGCATTCCAGACTTCAAGCTGTAATTGACTGCAAAGGATTTGCAACCAAGTATTAAAAAGTGAAAGTTTGATTTATGATTATTATTCTGTCCCATTACTTTTGGTCCCTTAACAAGTGGGAGGCACATATGCAAACTGTTGTAATTCCTACACCGTTCACCTGATTTGGATGTAAATACCCTCAACTTAAAGATGACAGTCTGCAGTTAAAGCACATTTGTTTGTTTCATTTAAAATCCATTGTGGTGGTGTATAGAGCCAAAAATGTTAGAATTGTGTCGATGTCCCAATATTTATGGACCTGACTGTAAATAATATAAAAATGTAAAAAGTTAAAAAATTACAATTTTTGGTTATAAACCAATTTGGGTTATTTTATTTATTTTTACTAAATTTCATTTACATAGCTATGTAAATTTCATTTACATAGCAAAAAATATAAAAATCCCAGTGGTGAATAAATACCACCAAAATGAAGCTTAATCTGTCTAAAAAAAAAAAAAAAAAAAAAATGCAAAAACTTCATATGGGTACAGTGTTGCATGACTGCGAAATTGTCATTCAAAGTGTGATGGCACTGAAAGCTGAAAATTTGCCTGGACAGGAAGGGGGTAAAAGTGTCCGGACTTGAAGTGGTTAATAGCAAAAAGTAAAAAAAAAATATAATATACACGCAAAAAAATAAAACGCACAGGCAATCAAATACCACCGAAAGAAAGCTCAATTCGTGGGGCAAATAAAACGTAAATTTCATTTGGGTGCAGTGTTGCATGACCGTGCAATTGTCAGTCAAAGTAACGCAGCGTCGTAACGCAAAAAAATTGCCTGTTCAGGAAGGGGGGTAAATCCTTAGGAGGGCAAGTGGTTAAAGTGTGAGGTATGAATCGGTCTCTTCTGACTAATGCAGCCAACAATCAAAGATCTGCCCTAAAAAAAATTTTCTAGCAATACAAGTAGAGAAAGGAATGGGTTCTGTAAAATTTGTCTGATGTAATTTACAAATACTCCCATTTGAGTTAACTTTCTGGCTTCGTCACAATAACAGTGTTCTATTGATGGCGTTAAGTTTGATTATTTCAGTTGTTACCTGGAGGGGCCTTCTTTAACCACTTCTCATACAGCCCTGTAAACGGCCGGAAAAGTGCAGGAGCGGGTTGTTCATGATACGCGTATGATTTATGGGAAATCCACTGATTGGCCAATCATTGTTTAGAGTAGTTAAAGTAATTGCTTACTAGTGTTTGGTACAAGGCTATTGTGTATAAGGCTGTTGTGGTCAGAGCTTGTCACATGGGTACTTCTCAATGGTATCTTTATCATGTTAATATAAATGCTTTTGGACTACCTGCAAAACAGTTACACTACCTGCAAAACAGTTACAACATGCAAAGCATACGTTTTAACACAGTTTTTAACCTTTTTGCTTCATCTACAGCTTGTCAAGATGCGCCTGACTGTACCCTGTCGAGCAGAGACCTGTGCTCACCTCCAGTGCTTTGATGCAGTGTTTTATTTACAAATGAATGAAAAGAAACCAACATGGACTTGCCCAGTGTGTGACAAGCCTGCTCAATATGATCAGCTTATAATAGATGGGTAAGTAAATTTGTGTCCTGTATGTTTTGCCAAAATGGAATTTCTTACCCACTCCCTGTTCTCTAGAGTAAAGACACATTTGTGATATACTTCTATATTTACTTAAGGCAAAACCCATTTTTTTTGGGGGGTAGAATGGAGTGGGATTAGATCTGGGTTATTGTTGTCAGTGCCCTCATTAGAAAATATGCCTCTCAATTTTGTCATGTTTACCACAATTGCCAAGAGTGAAAATTTTTAAAATCCCAAATTTTGAAAAGAAATAGGGGGGAATCCTCCAATAGGGACACTAGTTCTAGTGACAACCCAGGGATTCCCTCACTATGGAGGGATTTTCTCTCACTTCCTGTTTTTTTTAGCTTTTGGACAGGAAATGAAGAGATATGTCCCTAATGGAACAAAGATAGCAGATTTACTGACTCGGGGCATTCATTTTGCCTTTAGTTCTAATTTTAAGAATCAGGAGTAAGCATACTACATAATTGACCGGATCAAAAAGGTTTTGGTGTAAATTTGAGCAGTGTCTTGGCATACCCTAAATTATTGATGTGCAGTTTGAGAAGTGATAAATATCTGTGTTTGTACAGACATATTGAGATTTAATATTCTAGAATGTACATTTCATTGTGTTTTTCAGTCTTTTGTCCAAAATCCTTAGTGAATGTAAGGATGCAGATGAGATAGAGTTTTTGGTGGATGGTTCTTGGCGCCCAATAAAGGCAGAAAAAGAGAGAAGCTGCAGTCCGGTCTGTCCTGTTCTTGAAATAGGTATTTGCACGTGCATGTTCCCTCACCGTTTTTCTATTTTTTTTTTGTTTTTTTTGGCCAGCTCTTCATATTTTATCTCTAAAAACAGCCCGTTTTTGAACAGTTATCTAAATGTTACTAATGACCCTTTACTGTCTACCAGGATCTCCTGAAATGGCAGCAAAGATACCTCCTCCCAGCAGCACTGTGTCAACTGAGAATGGGAAACCTGGCCCAGATGTAGTGGACCTCACAGTGGACAGTAGTTCGTCTTCATCCTCGTCCTCTGAAGATGATGATGAAGAGGACGACGACGACCGCCCTGCACATAAAAGACGCTGCTATGAAAAGGGGCTTTTATCTGCTTGTTGACCCTCCCTGCTTTCATATTATGATCTTGAACTTTCTAATTTCAGACAGACACAGTTAATGAGCTGTGTTCCCTCTTCCTACCAAGACCTATATGCATCACTACTTTGGCAAAGTCCCTTCCACTGTTTAACTTAAGAAGCATAAAAGGTCATGTTCAACTGGTAAAAGAGTAAAAAGATCCCCGTTTTAATTTTGTTCTGTCATATTTTGTATTAAACTTTTTTTTCTTTTTAATTGTGTTTTTGGAAGTGCATTCAGGAGACAGTCACAGGAAGAAAACCATTCCATGCCTTGTAAACAACCACTCTTCTTACCTTCAAATGCATCTTTGAATTGCTGTTTTTTTGCATCTTCTGCTGTTATGGGTGAAATAGGAAAATACTGATGGAACACTCTACTTTTGGCTCAATGGCATTCACTGAAGGGTGTTAATTTTTGGTTCAAAATAAAGGGCAAGCTTATTGCTGTAAATAGTTATTGATGTAGAAAGGTTTCTGCAAGAGAACCATTATTGGGGTTTTGAAAAATGCAAGCATATTATAGTTTTTCACTTCCCAAAATTGTGCAGTTTTAATATTTCCAGCTTAGTAATATGCAAAAACTGGGCTATGTAGAATTTTATGAATGAATGCTGATGGGATGAAGAGGATATTATACACTGCTTTCAATCAATCTACCTCTCTGCTGTTCAAGTTCTCTGTGCAAGTCAGGGGAGGTTTATTGCTGCTTTAGACCTTCTTACTCCCCATTTTTAACTCATTTCTTGGCCTAAAGCTCTGCACCTCCTTAGTACCACTCTCCATTTAAAATGTATTCGGATGCCAACTGAAATCAATAATTTATCCAGTGATGGGGGAAGTACGGCTAAAAGTAAACCAGCCAATCAACATAAATTCACTGTCTTTAGCAAAGGCTGCACAAGATACTTGGTATTACCTTTTTAGTTGCCTAAAGAACAAAAAACATTTATTCTGTGTACCCCTCTGGAACTGGTTTTATTCTATGAAGTACTGAAATTTCCTTTTTGTCCCACTCTCCCCTGACCAACAAGAGTACCTTCACTGGCCACTGAGGCACTCTTTTCAACAGGAGAATTACTAGTGAGCTAGGTATGGGTTCAATTTCAGAAAAGGCAGGCGTTTAGTAACATAGTGCAATTAATTTAAAGGGGTGCACAGACACTGTTTTCAGGGCCAACAAAGGTAGTAATGTGCAGTTTGCAATTGTTGCTTCTAGGCTGGATACTTTGAAGTGGCTGACAAGTGCATGGTAAACCTATAACAAACCTGTGCAATTCAAACTGCAGGAATGATAATGTGCAAAGCAATGGGTACTTTCAGTGAAAGTAACTGTAAAGATATAGGAAACTGAACTTAACTGCTATTCTTGGCTTCTGCTCTTAATTGATATTGGCTTCAACACCTCCTAGCTTCTGAGGCCTTCTGTTGGTCAATGAGGCCTCCCATAATAGACTAATAGGCAAACTAATGTGGGAGAGGGTGGGGCAAATAGAAAATAACCACCATGGTTTAAATTTTGCATGCAAGCTAATCTGCCTATGTTCCTGGGTCTGTTTTCACTGAGGGCAGATTATGTGATTTATTGTAATATGGTCAGTTGAATTGTCAAGGGTTCAGCTTGGTTTATTTAAGAATGTGCTTTTTAGCCTTATAACCTACTTATCCTTTTTGTTTTGGGCGCTGGATTCGTCAAAAATGTTTGGGTAGCCATGTCTCTCGTATTGTATGTTTAAATGGCACTGACTAACCTAAAAGTAATGAACTGTATTTATGCTTTTTACTTTTTCACTGCGAATATATGTAAAATTATGTCTTAATTGACTTACCCCAGTAAATAGCAGGCCTAAGGGTTCATGCACGTGGGTGCAAAGGGCCGCTCATTTGGGAGTCGCTGGTGTTTGCATACAGCTGCAACCAGTACAAATCAATGACAGGCTGATAGCTGTTGCATCTATACTCATGTAACTGCATATTTGAGCAGATGAGGATGGATGAGTGGCCCTGGGCTACAGACCCTTTGCATCCAGGGCTGCTCCTCTGCAGCTGCACGCAAACACTTGTGACTGGTTGTAGAAATATGCTCCTTCTAAATGATGTATGGCACTCTGCATCTATGTCAATGAGCCCTAAGTTTTAGCTAAGTAATGTGGCTTAGTCTCAACACTACCATTAAAAATCATTGTCCACGTAATATTTAAAATGCTTGATTAAAATTTTGTAAAATTTTTTACTTAAGCATTTTCATTTGTGGTAGTATCTTTCCCCATGGGAACCTGTTTTCATTCATAGTTTTTTTTTTTGAGAGGGTTACCCTCAGGGTTGCCAAATTGGCAAGTTGTCATTTTTGTTGTGTATGAAAAGTGCTTCTTTGATGCAGTTATATTGCTGCCAATACATTTTGCTATATTTTGAGAAAAAAATTTTTTTTTATCCATGAGCTATATTGGAGAGCGGTATTAGACATAAATTTCAAGTTGCTGCTGTTTTTTTTTTGTTTTTTTTTTTTTTTTTCTCCTCAGTACTGGTACAATGCCATGTTCCTTTATCCTTCTGCATGTTAGGGCATTTTGTTGCCTATTCTAACAACCTCCATATTCAGAATAAATGTCCCCACGATACATTTATCAACTTAGAAACTTCTCTATCTCTCTGTCCTCCAAGCAAGACGTAGTGGCATAACTTAGGGTTGCACCAATACTTGTGTTTTTTTGTTGTGTTTTTCGGTGAGTATGCGTACCGATATATTATGCGTATGAGTATGCGTACCGATATATACCGAAGTATTCACTGTTACCGATTTTTTTTTTTTTTTTTTTTTTTTTTTTTTTTTTTTTTTTTTGAGCCCATACAGAATTATTGGGCTTGAATTGCACTGCAAAGAATCACATGTGATTTAGACAAGAATGCAGTGCGATTTGCTGTCTAAATCACATGCCGTTTCCCAGTGGGCGCACCGATTTGAGCCATACAAAATAAACTTCAGCTGAAGTAGCGCATATTAGTTCAAATCACGTGATTCTTTGCGGTGAAATTTTAGCCCATACAAAATGAACGGGCTCAAATTGCACTGCAAAGGTTATCTGTTTCAGGTATCTGAGCATTTGCATGAGTACTTGTGAAAAATACTTCGTATCAGCTCTATACTAGGGATGCACAAATACTGGTATCAATTACATATTCATTCCATATGAAGTCCCCTAATTACTGAAGTTAAACATTCCTAAAGACAGCACCCTGAGCTCATATCAAACGAGTTCATTGCTCAAATATTAAAGAATGTTAGAATACTACGAACATTCATTACAGCTTAAGTTCTGTTATGTGTGCATGTAGTGCTTTGTCACTTGGAGGTAGTTTCAGCTCAAATATTCATAAGGTTGCATTCACACTTCCAAATGCACCCTGTATGCCATCAAAACCACAGCACAGCTTCCCAGGATTAGCTGCTAGTAGGCAGCATTGAAAACAATGAGGGACCGTGGATTGTAGCAGCTAATTGCACCCACTTGCATGTCTACAAAAATCGTCAATTACATGCAAATGGTCGTGATTAGCTGCGAGAACCGACAACCTTCCATTTGCTTTTAATGGGGTTGCCTACTTGCAGAAAATTAATTATCCTTGCTCAAAAATCAAAGTATATTCAAGAATATTGGAATAGTGCAAACATTCATCACAAGTTGTTTTCTTATTATTATTATACAGGACTTATATAGTGCCGACAGTTTGCTCAGCGCTTTACATTATGGAGGGAGACAATACAGTAACAATACAGTTCAATGCAAGAGGGATTAGAGGGCCCTGCTTCTTGGAGTTTACAATCTAGGAGGGAGAGGATAGTGGTACAAGAGGTAATTAGCTGTGGGGGATGGAGTGGTTATGTGTGCATGTAGTGGTCAATTATCCATAAGGGTGCATTCACACTTCCAATGCACCTTGTATGCGATCAGCTGCTAGAACCCTAAGAGGGCCTCCCGTGAGTAGCTGCAAGTAGACAGCCCCATTAAAAGCAGTGGGAGACTGCTGGCTGTAGCAGCTAATCGCTCCCACTCGCATGTAATCGCTCAAGCAGCATTTTGCATGCATCTGGGTGTGATTATGTGTGAGAACCGGCAGCCATCCATTGCTTTTAATGGGGCTGCCTACTTGCAGCTAATTGCAGGAATCGCCCCTGGGGTTCTCACAGCTGATTGCACACAGTACATTCACAAGTGTGAATGCATGCTAATAATGTTGAAGTGCTTGGATGCTATGCATACAGTGCATCCAGAAAGTATTCACAGCGCTTAACTTTGGCCACATTTTGTTATGTTACAGCCTTATTCCAAAATGGATTAAATTCATTTTTTTTTCCTCAACATTCTACAAACAATACCCCAGAATGACGTGAAAAGTTTGTTTTGAAATTTTTGCAATTTATTAAAAATAAAAAACGAAAAATGAACATTTAATGCCTGCAAAATATTTTACTGCAGGAGACTGAGGTAGAAAGCACATGCATGATCCTTTGTACTCAAATAGCAATCACGTGACTATTGCTATAGTATGTAATTGTTCACCTGCCAGACCGAAAGTGATATACTTTATAGTCTTATCCTATATAATGGTATTTGTGCAAACACCTGCAATCTTTGCAATGACACACTGTCCTCCTTTCATGTATTTTACTGAGCACATACCAAGCCACCATATTTTGCTTGTCCTTAAAGCTTCACAGGCTTACAACAAAGAAAAAAGGAATCTCCCACACATGCATATCAGTGCATTACTTGCAAGAGCGT